TTGTGTAATTGTCACGTGTGAAAAACTCTTTCCTTGCATGATGGCACTATGTTGGAGTCTGTGGCATAAAGACTCTTGGACTTACAGCCATGTGCTTGGGATTTTTCTGCTCTAGCCACGTTATCAGGATCTCTCTTGGTTTCATGATGTGCTATGACCATAAGCCTTCACCTTGGTCATGGACCAAGGCAACATTTTTGTTATTCCAGTTCTCTCTCTGGTTGTGTGAATGTGTTTCTTGTCATGTGGCAAAATAGTGATGCTTTGAATAGAAGACTAGTAGGTGACTGATCATATGTTAGGAATGGAGATTACAGTATGTTGACTCCTTTTTTGTGTTGCTTTGCCTAAGTCTTGTTCCCTGTTGCAGGAGCCTAAAAGTATGGAAGGTAAGTATTAATATTCCCATTTAGGGATTCAATGCTGCATGTAAACCTGATGTATGTCCCGGTGTCAAGATGATGCCCTCAGGTGGAGCCCAGGCTTACTGCTGGCTTGTGGAGGGGCTTGTGTACATTTAGTGGAAGAGGGGAGAGCATGGAAAGCATACTACCTTTTTGTCTCTTTCCTCTCTTGTATGTCCACTGGAGGAGAGAGGCTAAACCTTTATGATCTATGTACCGCTGAGTCTTAGCTTCCTTTTTCCAATAAAAAAGTGTATCCAAGCTGTATTTTGAAATATTTTGTTGAACAATTTGAACTGGTTGTTACTACTTCAACTGAACTTATTAATGAACTGTGGTATGACTGTATTTGTATCTCCTTGTTCATTAGCCAGCAACCAGTGCCTGTGTGGGCAGAAGCAGGCATTTCACAGTGTGCCTGCGCTTGGGCTGATGCATGGGCTCAGGCATCCTATTGGTTCTTTGTATTGCTCATAAACCCATGTTTGATCAGCGGGACATCTACCATGAAACTCATTAGAGCTGCTATTTTGAGAAAGCAGGGTGATGTTTCACATAACGTGCTAATGTGAAAAGGATGCTATGCTTGTAAAACTAAACTGGAACTTTGTTGGAGAAGCATTAAGCATTCCAGCCGTGCACACAGAGTTTCAAGTAATTCCTCCAAAGTCTTCACTCTGACAGTTTTTCTACTCACATCCAAGTTCCACAAACGTTGCTATAATGTTGATAATATGTTTTAAATCCCTAGCTCTTTCTCTGGGATTTTGAGATGAGAATAGTAATCAAGTAACAACTGGGATCTGAGAAAAGAGAGTCCGGAATTCCCAAACTCTCCCTATGTTAATGTACTTTTCCTTGTATCAGCATGAACAAAGGTAATTGCTGTGTAGTCAGCTAAGGTACTTTTGGGGAAATAGTGTTAGTCTGTTGTATGAAGCCTTTGTAAGCAGAAACACTGCTGTCTCTGGCCATGTGATTTGTTCAAAAGCAGCACACCCATTTTTGACACAAATATATGATACCTCTACAAGAAATGATCTGTTCTGCCCCATTTATTACATTCACAGCTTGCCTTCAGTGCTGTGGGGCCTGTGGATGCAGCTCATAAAAAGCACCATGTTGCAAATTCATAATTTTCACAATGTAATGGCCCATCCAGTGTCCTCAGCTGGGTTGCGTGCTGTCTGTGGCTGTCAGTTCCTGAGAACAAAAGTGCCAACACGGGAGATGACCTTCCAAAAGAAACTTTGAATATGTTAAAGCAATGCATGGTACATCCCTTTCCCAGCTTTGTCTCAGTGTCTCAAGTGTTGTACAAGTGAGAGGGATGTTGTGTTCAGGGCTGTGCAGCTTTGTGGAACGCATTTGGAGGTGAGCTGTCTTAGCCATTATTGATGCTAAATATGACATTTTATTCCATTTAACTGTGCTCAGAGAGATGAACTTCAGCATTCCCAGGCCCAGACAGGAGCTGTAGAAAATGGGAAAAGTAAGGAACAGTGCTCGTTGGGACTGCATCCTTTCTCACAGACTCTCTGAGACCAGGGGCTCAGGGCAGGGTTGTCTGGAATACGGTAGGGCCATGTGGCTGTCCTGTTGTCACCTCCTTGGGAATGTCTTGCTGGCATTGTCTTAGGCCTGTGAGCTGCCTTCAACCTCTTTGGTAGACTGAGTGTTGCAAGCTCCACGTAGTTCCTGCAGCTCTTGACACACACCAGAGACAGCTCCTTTTATTTTTTAAAATGAAAGCTGAGATGCTTGTCTAGTAAAGTAATTGCTGGGAGAATTTTGCCTTCTAAGAAACAAAGCATTTCTGTCCTTATGCAAATTTAAACAAATGCAATACTGCTTTTAGTGGAAACTGCCATGGGGTATGCAAGAAAGTTCATGTCTTGAGAAAACCAGGCTTCTAATGGGCAGTCCTGGGTCTTGCTGGCCACATCTTCTCTTTGAGGTCTTCAAGAACTGCACAGATGTCTTTTAATTATACTTCCACTGCTGAATAATCTGCTTGCTTTTTGGGAACAGCTCCTGTGTTAGGCAATTCACTGTGAAGAATGGAGGTTTCAAATAGGTTCCTCTCCCTTAGTGAATTTATTTCATGGAAGAAGGTCCTGGGGGAGAAAAGTTTTGGGAAAGTAAATTCAGCCTCACACATGGTACATATTCTTTCATGTGCAAGCCTCTAGCAATTTGTTCTCTCACTGCTCATGTATTAGAAGAACTCAGGAGCCTTACAAGAGACTTAGAGATACATCAATACGGTACTAATTAAGAAAAGTCTGTGTCTGTCTTTAGTGTTGAATTGTTCTTCAATGTTTTCTTTTGTCTTTAGTTGTTGTAGTTATATAATTTACCAGCATTGCCTGTACAGATATGTTGGGGACTTTTGGTGAGACCTGGGATTTGGGAGGAGGATTTCGGGGTCCTTTTAGCTGCTCTGACTGTGTCCTGGGGCATAGCATTTTGCTTTCAGGACTCCTGACGGTATGCCATGAAAAGCTATAGGAGTAACTCTAAAGAGAGGTGTAGTGACATGTAAGAACTGCAGATAGGTAAAATTGCCTGTAAGTTCTTTGGTGAAAAGCACTCTTTAAATGTAAATCATTATTATTATTATTGCCTTCAATTATAATCCATTTATGTCTCTGGACAGTGTAAACCAACAATGTGGGAGCTTTGCTGCCCTTCAACAGTCCCAGCTCTGTGAAGTTACTCTTGGCTTCAGAGACTCAAAGTTCCTTACATGGCTCTTCTTCCTTCTCTTACCCACTCCTAACTGATACTGTCTAAAATGACTATTTCTAATGGTTTGCATTACATTCATGACCATATCTTGTATGTGTGGGAAAAAAAAGGCTTTAAAACATGATTTGTTTGAACTGCAGTCCTCTGAAAAATGAGAGCTCTGGTGAAAATGTCCAAGGACCCTGGTGCTCTGGTAACAACACTGGCTATTGCAGAACTTGGGATGAAAATGGGAAGTCAACAATACTTGAGGTCACTTTATTTTTTTTTCTTCCCTCTGAAGATGGCTGCAATTGAATTGATTCTACTTGCAAAGAACCCTCCTTGTATTTCTGTTTTACTTTTAATAACTTTCTCCCCCCCCCCCCATGCCTCAAGCTATGGTAGGGATGACATTCCCTAATTGCCCAGGTAGCATTTTGAAAGCCATGGGACACATCTTTGTTCCTTAAAAATCTGCCTAGTGAAAAAGCACTTTCTTATTTTCACAGGTTTGTTGTTCCCCTGTGTGGGAGGCAGTCCCTATTTGTTCCCTCCGCTGCTGTTCTCATCGCCCATATTTTCTTCACAATGTCTGCTCTGTGTTTGGGTGTCAATAGCTGGGCTTCACCCTCCTCAGGTCTCTGACTGCTGGGGATTTGCCTTAACAGCCAGATCTTTCGTAGCAAAGCTTTTTGTAAGACCTCTCACTCACGTGGGAGAAGCTGTCAGCCCACACAGCTTGTCCTGAACAAGGGAATATTTGAAGGTTTTACTTAACTCACTTTCCCATTTTTTCACAGATTAGTATTTTTTTAGACCCTGTTATGTTGTTTAAATTGAGTCTGACCACCAAAACAAATGAACATTGTGTCACCACATCTTGGTTCCTTTCATACAGCTGCAGCTAAGAGAGTTTGGAGACGGTGCTACCTGCAGAAATGTTGAAGCTAACACTATGTATAATCATAATGAATTACATTCAAGGTACTCCATACATAAATCTGGTCACACCAGAACAAGAACTGTGGAAACTATATAACATTAATGTATACTCATTACATTCCTCCTTTCACAGGCTCCAAAGTTGTCAGGCTGGCAGCAGGGTGGGGACCTTGGAGTAATGAGGAGTTAGATTTAAATATTTTACTAGAAATCATTGCAGCTCTTCACTGAAAGGGGGTGCCCTTTAGAAAACAGGGTATCTGTGATGTACAATAACTGCTAAGGAGTAATGAATTCTATGTTTGTTGTCTTTTTATTGGTGGCAAAGAAGCTTTTCTCATTTTGCAAGTTTATTGAAAAAGGCAAGAATCAAAAAAACCTCCAAAACTTGAAAACTCTGTTTAAAATGTATAGTTCAGCTTTCTACTCCCTTTGAAATCAAAGACAAATTTCCTACTGATTTTCTCAGGAGCAATATAAAGGCCGGAAAAGATAGGTAATGTTCCTTCTACCACATGTGGAAACATATCATTAGGTTCCTCCCTGGATGGTTTTGGCTATATCATTACAAGCATGCACCAAGGACTGAATTTGGCCTCACAATGATTAATATTTTGTTTATTCAATTTGCAGAACCACTACTTAAAATGAAGGCCCAGCTGACTCTGAAACGGGGAGGAGGAATACAGGGCAGCATCCATGCAAGATAGGGTGGTAGGGTGACTCCTTCCATGAATAGGAGATTCATGTATCCAGAACAGGAAATCAGTACCCAGAGTGATGCTTTTTAGCTGCAGTGCCTCGTGTTGGCCCTTACATCTCTCATACTGCTTGTCTTTTAGAGCCACTGAGTGGTCCGTGCCCCTAAAAATCCTTTTCTCTTTTTCAGGGGAGTAAGTGTGGATCCAGTCATCTAACTGGAGTCCCAAATTTGAATCTTTTGCTGAGGAGCTTGGCTGGTTCAGGTGGAGGATGTCATGTTACATCAGGTGTTTTTCAGAGAAGAGTGGCGCTTTAACAGCCAGCTCAAAAGGAGGGAATTTCCTTTCCAGACAGAATGACCAGGCAGGTCTGTTGTTGATCACCAAGTCTGTGGTTTATTTAACTGGTTTTTTTGCATGCTGAAAGCTCTAGCTGGTGATAGAGCTGCCAGGCTTTATTGCCGGCAGCATACTGGTGGCACTAAGGCTTATATCTGACTTCCTACAGCTGCAAACGCTACTAGCACTAAGATTTCACAATGCCTGGGATGCAACCACTGGGACGAAGGAGGGTGGCTTCTAACTGAATTCAGGCAGTGAGAGAGGCTAAGGAAGGGTGACTTTCTACAGAAGGGAAAGCTGCTCAGTAGAGGAGAGCTACCCCCTACTTTTCATTTACAAAGCCCGCTGCCATTGCTGAGTCTATTCTTGGTTTCTTATTCCCCAAAGTGTTTCTTTCCAGACTCTATGTATTTTTTCACTTTCTATCTTCCACTTGTATGTGATTTGGCATGGTGATTCATGTCTTTGTTATCTTCAGACTGAATTCCTGCGATGGAGGATGAGGATGGAGGCAACTCGGAGACTCACCTTGTGCAGAGAGCCAAGTGTTAGCTGCCACCATCCTTGATTCACTACAGCCAAGCCTTCAAGGTCAGGTCCTGCTTATGAAAGCTCCTGTCTAATCACATTTGTCCTGTGATTCATACACCTTTACTGGCAGTTATGTTCCTGCCTCTGAGTTCAGTTGTGGCTTGCCAGTCAGCATGATGTTAATCATAGATGCTAGGCCCCTCGATGTTGGCTATTGTTCTGCTGAGGTTTGGTTTTGAGAAATGCTGTCCACCTCCCACTTCAGCTAGAGCAAAGGTATTTTTGTGTGCAAAGAGAGAGGACTTTATAGTCCTATAGAGATATAAATAATATTTTCCTTTATACTTAAACACAGAAAATTCTAGTATATTGATAGGCCTCAGCTTTTAATACTGTTTTGTTCCTTGACATTCAAGTTTTTTCTCCAATCAAGGGTAGGTATTTTCACTGCTGAGATGTTCAGGGGCTGCTTTCTGCTCTGAGATCTCTCTCAGTGATTCACTTCTCTGGGCTTCTAAGTAGTTGGTTTGCCCAAGGTGGTGTAGCTGTTGTTTTCCTTGAGAGTAACACACAGCTCATGGCTGATATAGATAACAAAACAGACACTGTTTAGAAAAACCCCTCAGTTCTGAGAGCCGATGTTAATAATCCTTGATCTCCATTGGCTTCTTGCAAACTTGACAATCTGCTTCCAGGGTAGATTGTTGGTATTTGCAGTTTTAACTAATAGGCAGCTGTGCTATGGGATGCATATTGGGATATCACTAGGATCAGAATTACTAAACTCTGTTTTAATCTAAGCTGGGATCACATTTGAGATTTCCCAGCCAGCACAGGACTCCCTTAGATCTGGTAGCTGTTTCGCTCCAGTTGGCAGTCACAGAAAACACTGTGACTGTGAGAATTTGAAACTGGAGTCAGAGTTGGTGACATGACTCTATTTCTAATGATTTCTAATGATGATAGATATATCATAGATATATATTACTGACTTTTTGTACTTCTTTTTTTAAAGATGAGCCTAGGTATGAAGGCTATTCCTGAGTTTCATGATTCCTCATACTAATTGTATTCAACTCAGTTCTACAAGGGTAAATTGGCATGGGAGAACCCAGACAGATGAGAAGCACAAGCAATACAAAGCAAATACACATTGTGTTACAGGACTATATGGGCAGATTAAACCCCACCAAAATGTTGGGCATACACCCTTGCTGAACCTCTGCCACAGCCCATCCAGCGGACAGTGCTGTATCCTCTAGTGCTGGGGAGTAAAAAAGTCCTCTTGTTGTGCACGTTCGTGAAACTGCATCTGTAGGACAGGCTGTATTTATTATGTGCATGTTGGAAAAATGAGGTAAAGAAAGGGAAAGAGGTTATAAACAAAAAAATGTGTACATTTATTTTCAACACAGCATGCTACATGTACCACTAATTGGTAGTGGACTGCATGACTCCAGACTCAGTTCAAATCCTGAAATTCTGAGACAGAAGAGTTTCTTTTGAACTCAGTAAGAGAGAGGGACCGAATTTTGCATGCATTTGAAGCTGATTTCAGTTGTAACCCTTGCAATAAAGGCATCACATATGATATGTGATATTCTTCTGGGTACCTCATTCTGTGACATAAGTCGATAATGGGCCCAGCCAGCACTCACAATGCTTGTTGTTTCTGAATCAGAACACATCTGCAAGAATGAGAGTGAAACTTAAGTGTGGAAAAGTTGAACACAGTCTCAGGCATTCCCTATAAGCATGAACAAGTCCCTTGACACCTCTCCCTTTCTAATTTTAGTGATAGAGACGGTGCTTTTGCAGGAATTTATAATTGCTGTTGATTTCTTCACTTAGAACTTGCATGGCTTGTTTAAACAGCATTGCAATTCTGGAGTTCTTTTGCGACATTTTAGGAGGGCACTAAAGCAATATAAAATAGACTAGGCCTGACCCCAGGGAAGTTAAGACATGGGTTCAAAATGTCTTATTCACTCATTCTTTCTACAACTCAAGGACAGCAATCTTGTTTTGCACCTGGAGTACTAGTTTGTCCAAGGCACAAATTGCCCCCAAATTTTGCTTTCTGTCTTCATGCCTTTCTATGACTCTGAAAATCTACAGGGGGTTTTCACATCTCTTCTCTAAAAGAATGCCATTGTTTTTCCTGTTATTGCCATAAATGCTTCCCTGTGAGTCCTGGTATATAGAGAGGAATTATACTTCTGAAAGTGGTACATCTGTGTACTTCCCTTGCAACATGCTAGGGTAAAGATAATTGCCTGTTGCTATAATATTCTTGTGGAAAAACTGCTGTATTTCTGAAATAGAACCATACTGCAGAAAGTCAGTACAGGTTTAATCCCCTGGTCTGCCCAGATGTCGATGTGCCCTTGAGCAGGTTAGTTGGTCTCTAGGTAACTCAATTACTTATGAATATAACTGAAATAAGAACACTTCCCTAGTGTCTTTTTATGCTGTGGCAAGAAATGCATTAAGGACTGTAAAATATTTGTAATCTACAATGGTCAAGCCATAAGCCATTAAGGTGGCTGTTAAAATATCTGAATAAACAGTTTGTCCAGAAGACCCTTGGTTCTCCATGAGGAATTGCAGCCATAGCTTTGCCTGCCTGTGCCAGAATGCTGTACAGCCTGGTATGACACTGTTAATCAGCATTTCCCTTCCTGAAAGGATTTGTTGGAGAAGCACCATTTTGCTCCACCTCAGACAATGTAGGCTGGCTGAAATCTCTGGGAATGCTTGTCACAGACAGTAAACTTTGACGTGATGCTAATACCTCGTAAGGGACCCACTAGCCAGAGGATCCTGCTGGTACTTGTGTGTTAACTGAAGGTGGTCAGGGCTTTTGTACTGTCCTAGATCAACATATTTCATTGTAGTTCTCTGCATATTGCATCTTGCATCAGATCTGTCCCACTAAATCAATGAAATTATTTAAATAAATTACTTTTATTAATTTATTATATGAAAAATTTTAGAGCAAATTCCTTTGATGTATGATATCCTAATCACACCCGCAGGGCATTAGCAAGCACAAGGCACATCTGAGTGTCTCTAATTCCCTAGTGGTGTGATTATATCTCATAATATTCACAACCCCCTGGAGCTTCTTTACTGGTATAAATAAATCAATTATTTAAGTCAAATACTTTGATCATTAGAAGCTGCCAGTAAGTGCTTGAATGCCTGAGCTGTGCAATTCACCAGGAATGATCTTGCCTCTCAAAATGCTGAGCAGCTGAGCCGAGTGCTACCAGCACTTCATTTCAATCTGCTTTATAAATTAGATTAGAAGTCAGTTTCCAATACTTCATCCTGGATAGCAAGGAAGGGAGAACTGTACAGGGGTGGAATTATGAGATATTGCTGCCAACAGATCCTTTTATCATTTAACACTGCTGTCATAGGTTAAATATGAGCTACTGTTCATATTAACTAATAGCTATTATACTGAAAACTGACACAGGGATTCCAGCTAATGCACCATGAACCTGGTTCACACACACTGCATCATATTAACTATTATTTGCACATATGGATGGAAAGGAGTTTTGAGTCACTTGGGATATATGGCAAATTAGCATTTTATATCATATTAATGAAGTGCTAATTGCTCCTTGCAACCTTTTTTTGTGCAAATTGAATGGGTCCTATTTGCATTGTCATGTAACTGCCGTATTACCTTGCAGCACTTTCATTAGGATGAGGCAGCACAGAGTTCATCAAGGAAAAACTATTAGTAATTGCGAGATAATGAGTTATGAAACCCATATTGTTTAAAGTAGAGCAGAAGTACTGCAGTTGACTTTGGTTTAGCTTGGGAATAATTTTATTAATAGGTTTTATAAAATATCTTTCGTTTTGCATATATTAAACCGACCTGTTTAAAAACAGAGCTCCCTGCTCCAATATTTTCTCTTTCAGTTCCTGTTTGTCAGCGTGTTTTGTGTCTTCTAATGGAACATGAAACATAGCAAAAAATAATAAATAAGGGAGTAGTTTACTGCTGCTCATTTGTCTCTAAAATTAATCACAAGTCTGGAACTATTTGAAATTGTAGAATTGTGAAATGGGAAAGTATCTCTAAAGATATTGAATTTACAGGTGTCCATGAGTCTGACCAAACAGCAGCCAAGTCTGTAAAACAATTTAAGAAATGTTGAAGATGTTACAGTCCTAATCATTTGCAGAATCTTGTTAACTATCACAGATACATTTCTCCATAAACGTGAAATATAGCATGTGATACTTTCAACTAGGTCAGGCATTTTAGAAGAGAGGGACAGGTGGAAAAAATGAGGAAAAAAATTGAAAAGTAATTTCATGCTAACTCAGGGATGTTTCCATGATTGTGGAGGAAGCATGATTAATTTCTGAAGCCTCTGTGGGAAAGGCACCCAGACAAAATTACATAAATCTACATTAGAGGATTTAAATGCTTTTGCCAAGAAAAAAATGATCTGAATTTTAGGTAGCAGAGCCCTTTGTCAGTCAATTCACCCAGATTTAGGGCCTGCACCTTTTCTTTTTTAGTGAAGTATTGGATACAGACAGATTGCAAGTTACAGCCGAAGGCAGTATGACAGCTTTATTGCTGTTGCATGGCCAACATGTTGTCTTTGGGAAATAGGCTGTGGACTTTCAGAAAGGTATGCACAAAGAAATGCTTTCAGATATTTGTATTATTAAAACAAAGCTTGTTAATACAGATTGACTAATTCTCTCATTCTCTCTCTTTTGGCTGTGTTTGCAAACACATTTGTGTAAATGTAGACCTATGTGTTTATCAGAAAGGTAATCGCAGCTTGAGAGACGACTGAATGAAGAAACTGTACATAATATAGTCTGTCACCTAATATATTCTCAAGTGTCTGCAGGGGTGGGGAGTTAGGACCTCAAACAGACATCGTGAATACAGAAACAACTGCACAGAGCCTTGTCCCAGGTAGGCATGAAACAATGCAGCAACAAAAGAGCTTCTTACTGACCTAGACTTAAGACTGTTCCCAAACAAACACAAGCAGTTCAACATATTTTTCAAA